TTATCAGGTTTTTTGAACATTTTTAGCTCTTGCATGCCCAAAATCTGGTGTGAGAACTGTCAATGGATTGATAGTGAAGTTTTGTCAAAATGTATTCCTGTTTGAATATGATGAAGTACCTTAAATTTAATCTGAAATAATTTCAAAACTTGTAATTTTGAGGCCTATGTTCTTTCTTAGTATTTTAAAACTAATTTTAAAAATTTATTTATTTCTCCCACGAGCAAGAGATAGAAAGGGAAAGATCCATGTGTGTGCGTGTGTGTGCACACACACACACACACACACACATACACACAGCACCTCCAACAGTCGTGACACTGCAATCCATCCTCAGCCAGCATCAAATCATCTGCAAGCATGTGAATGGAGTACTAGAGTCTTCGGACTTGAGCCAGGAACCTTCCCATGTGAGAATGCCTTGCGGAGTGTTTTACTGTTGCAGCACCACCTGGCTGCTTTGCTAATTTTTATAAGATACTGAAGTAATACATCTAAAACACTTACCAGTGCATCTTGTATATTATATTAATAATTACATGATAGCTATGCAATTCTTAATTAAAACAGAGTCTCAGTTTATAATACTAGGAATTATGTGAAGGCTCTAGAGCCCAAAAGTCTGGATTCAAACACATGTGGTACCTTTTATTAGTTACATGCTTTTGTGTTTCCTCCCCTTTTAAATGGGTCTATTGATAGTGTATACAATATTCCCTACATAGTGGTAGTGTCATTCTCTACAGCTTTAGTTATGCAAGCCGATGGGGGCCCAAAAATATTAACTGGAAAATTCCAGAAATAAACAATTCCTACATTTAAATTGCATGCTGTCTGGATAGCGTGATGCAATCTTTCACCGCCCTGCACTGCTCTGTCTGAGACTTGAATCATGAATCATCCTTTGTCCAGTATATCCATGCTATAAATGCCACCTGTTAGTCACTTAGTAGTCATCTGGGTACTCTATTTTTAAAATGTAGTTTTGGTACTATCTGCAGTTTCAGGCATCTACTGGAGGTCTTAGAATGTATCCCCAAGGATAAGGAAGGACTACTGTCCCTGAGGCTTGCAGTGTGGGTAAAATGAGTACAACATACAAAACAGAGCAGTGGCCAGCACCTGGGAAACACTCAGTGTCAGTACTGCTCAGCAAACATCTAATGCAAGCACAGAACAACGGACACATTTTAGGTGCTCTATGGACATGCGGGCCTAATATCTAATGTACTGGTCAATATAGATAGTCTTTAATGCTAGAGACATCAGTAAAGTTCAAAATTGAAATCAATGACTAATCATGTCCATTTTGATATACTTTTTAAGTTCCCCCCCCCCATAGGACACATGCACTCACCAAACATAGACACAGAGAGGGAAAGTGAGAAATCACTCCTCAGTAGGAATGGCCATACCACAAAACCTTCTCTTACATTCTCCTCTCAGGAATTCCCCATTCTCTTCTGGCACATGTGCCCAGCATGATTTTTCTATCCCGGAACCAGGACTCAAACTGTTGTCAGCCATGTGGGAATCCAGCGCCTTAACCACTACACCACCTGTGGGCTCTGACACTCTGTCTTTAACCAACATCTATTCTAATTAAGATGTATCAGACTTCTTATGCAATTTTTAAATGGAAAAAAAAAAGAAAGGAAAATTAAATAGAGACCTTAACATCACATAAAGGAAGTATTATTGTAATTTTAAGGTGTTAAATGATCTCTTCAAGTTCCCCCACCATTTTTCATTTCAAAATAATACCCAGACAACTAGCCCATTTCAGATAAGTACAAGGATAAAAAGATTGATCCAGGCACTGAATAAAAAAAATGTAAATCCGAGGAAACGTAAAGCAAAATTTCTAATTTACAGTGGTCAAAGATGAATGCAACATGTTGTTGGCAATGACGGTACCAAAAGAAATATCTCATATTCATCAAAATGAAAAGTAACAGAAGTTTACCTGTATACATTCTCCAATATAAACATTAGAATTCCAAAGTTTCCTCCACTGATGACAAAGATAAATTCAAGACAATATTTATATATGTTGCTGCACACCCACACATAGGTTTATCAAGGTCAGGGACACAGTAGTGACAAAGCCAGGGCCCCATGGGGCAGAAGCTGGGTGAGGGATAAAGCAGTAGCTTAAGGCAGATCAGAGGATTTGAACTCTATCCTAAGAAGTGCTACAGCCATGGGAGTCTTCAGTCTACATACTTCAATGTTCACAGTTGAATATCTCTACTCTTTGAGGATATTCCAAGGACTTGGAATACACTGTCCAAACAGCTTTCTTTTGGTTTTCCTCCTATGCCAATATACTTTGTTGATTTTCCCAAATCTGACCAAAGTCTGGACTCAATGCACCTCTGGGCTCTATCCTCCCATGTCTTCCCACCTTCACTCTCTGACTGGTGAGGTCATCCATCCCCCATAGCTTTAAATACCCTCTGCACTGCGATGACTTCCAAATTTACACATCCTGCCATGACAGCACCCCTGAACTCCAGACTCATATATCTCGCTGCTCCCTAGGCAGGGCTACTTAGACATCCAGTCAGCATCTAAATGGATCCAAAAATTAACCCTATTTCTTCTCAAATCTCTTTCATCTCAATAAATGGCAACATCACCTATTTGCATTATTTCCTGCTTAGCATTTATTACCACCAGATACTGTGTTCATGTCTGCTTCTCCCCAACAGAACGCAAGCTGCAGGACAGCAGGTATTTCTGTCACAATATGTAAGGACTAGAGGGGGTTCATTTAGGCTGTATGGAAAGCAGGACTGCAGGGGAGACGTCTGGGATGAAGCCTGAATAACAAGATGGAGCCGGTCCTGAGACGATATGGATCGGGGATTCATGGCAGAGGAAATGACAAATACAAAAGTTTGCAAGAAGATTGGATAGACAAGAGGAAAAACAGCAAAAGGCCCAATGGCTGGAGAACAGCAAGAGGGAAAGCACTGAGAAGGGAGGAAGGGGGGTGGGTTATGGTTCCAAGGGTTCAGGGAGAGGGAATATCACATTCCAAAGGCCTGAAGGCAAAAGAGTCAAATCCACTAGTTCAACACAAATAACAAAAAGGAGGTTCCCAATATCTCTTCCAGAAGCATTTCACGCTTCCCTAGAGAATTCTCTTGTTATGTTACTGTTGGTTCAACTTAATTCTGAACAGCCTGGGATAAAATGGTAGCATTTACAGCCAAGTCAGCTGAGATCAGAAGGAAAATAAAAGGGTTCCTGTGGTGGTATGGAAATTGTAGAGACATTACCACAAAGATTATATGACTTGGAAACCTCTCCTTGTCTCGGGGGTAGTCTGAGTCTTTCTACGCACACCTGTTTTTTGACATCTTTTCATCAAAATCATTTAAGTGTGGGACTTTAGAGGGAGAAATTCTAACATTTCCAATCAATATAAATTTCTTAAAGCCTACACCAATAATTAATACCAGATCCTGAGTTTTTAAGTAAAGAGCATTAAGGCCGACACAAATGGCTATTAAATTATTTCTTCTATTTGTGCCATTGTAAGGCTGTTCTCAGCCCAGCAACATAAAAGCAGTTGTCACTATCTGAGATGATGCTACATCATGGAAATGATTTCACTAATGACATGTGTAAGATACCGTAAAAATTTTCTGAAGTGCATTTAATATTACTTCTGAGTCACTTTTTATTTTTCTATTATTATTTATTATTATTTTAGCATTTAGCCATGGGTATGTGTATTCACTGGAGAGAGATGGAGGGTGGAGGCAGAGGTAGTAAGAAATCACTCCCCAGGGGAGATGGTCACCCCACAATCCCTTCTACTTCCTCCTCGTGGAATTTGGGGCACATAGGCACACATGCCCAGTGTCATTTTCAAGCCACCAGGTCTGGGACACAAATCATAGTTGGCCATGTGGGAATCCAGCACCTTAACTATCATGCCACGTGCTGTCCCTCCACCCCTAGTCACTTTACATTAAAACTGCCCAAGGAACCAACAAATGGCATAATGGTATGTCACTGGACTCCCACATAATCTACTGTGGTTTGAGACCTGGACACAGTGGCTTAAAAAGTCATGCTAGGCGAGCATGTGTGCATGACCCAAATCCAAAGAGGACCATGGAGGAGAAGGGATTGCCGAGTGGCCATCACCTCAGGGGGGTGATTTCATGCTTTCTATCTAATCTCTGTCTCTCTAGCAAGCGCACAAGCCCTACAGCAAAAATCTCTCTTAGAAAACAAACAAACAAACAAACAAAAAAACACTGTCCATTTTTGGCCAGCCCGTGGTGTGGTGGTTAGGCAGCTAAGATAAGGGTATATACCACTACAGTTCCTATATCACAGATGAAAACACTAGCTCATAGACATGTTTCCATTAGAGAAATTTTGAACAGATAAATGTATTGCCAATAACGTAGTTCTGATACTTTTGCATAAATTAATTTGTCAATATAAAATGCCCTCCCCAGGTTTCCCAGTCTTCAGGACCCAATTCAAATGTCACCTTTTCAAGAAAGTCTGTTGTTAATAACATGACATAGCTAGTTGTTACCTCCATGAGTTGTTTCATGCTTGAAACAAGTCTTTATTTTAAAAGTAGGTTTTGTAAAGATCTTCTAAATGCTTGCAAAATTAAAATAGATTTATTAATGGAAATGTTTGATATTTTTGATTCTGAGAACAATTACATAATTACACAGCAAGCAAAATACAGGCAACTTACAC